GATATGGCCGGTGTGATGATATGGCGGTGTCCCAGTGTGATGATAAGGCGGTATCCCGGTGGGATGATATGGCGGTATCCCGGTGTGATGATATGGCGGTGTCCCGGTGTGATGATATATCGGTGTCCCGATGTGATGATATGGAGGTGTCCCGGTGTGGTGGTATGGCGGTGTCCCGGTGTGATGATATGGCCGGTGTGATGATATGGCCATGTCCCGGTGTGATGATATGACGGTATCCCGGTGTGATGATATGGCGGTGTCCCGATGTGATGATATGGAGGTGTCCCGGTGGGGTGGTATGGCGGTGTCCCGGTGTGATGATATGGCCGGGGTGATGATATGGCGGTGTCCCGGGGTGATGATATGGCGGTGTCCCGATGTGATGATATGGCGGTTTCCCGATGTAATGATATGGCGGTGTCCCGGGGTGATGATATGGCGGTGTCCCGATGTGATGATATGGAGGTGTCCCGGGGTGATGGTATGGCGGGTTCCCGGTGTGATGATATGGCCGGGGTGATGATATGGCGGTGTCCCGGTGTGATGATAAAGCGGTGTCCCGTTGTGATGATATGGCAGTGTCCCGGTGTGACGATACGGCGGTGTCCCGGTGTGATGATATGGCGGGGTCCCGGTGTGATGGTATGGTGGTGTCCCTGTGTGATGATATGGCCGGTGTGATGATATAGCGGTGTCCCGGTGTGATGATATGGCGGTGTCCCGGTGTGGTGGTATGGCGGTGTCCCTGTGTGATGATATGCCCGGTGTGATGATATGGCGGTGTCCCGGTTTGACGATATGGCGGTGTCCCGTTGTGAAGATATGGCGGTGTCCCGGTGTGATGGTATGGAGGTGTCCCGGTGTGATGATATGGCCGGTGTGCTGATATGGCCATGTCCCGGTGTGATGATATGGTGGTGTCCCGGTGTGATGATATAGCGGTGTGCCGTTGTGAAGATATGGCGGTGTCCCGGTGTGATGGTATGGCGGTGTCCCTGTGTGATGATATGGCCGATGTGATGATATGGCGGGGTCCCGATGTGATGATATGGCGGTATCCCTATGTAATGATATGGCGGTGTCCCGGTGTGATGATATGGCCGATGTGATGGTATGGCGGTGTCCCGATGGGATGATATGGCGGTATCCCGATGTAATGATATGGCGGTGTCCCGGGGTGATGATATGGCGGTGTCCCGATGTGATGATATGGAGGTGTCCCGGTGGGGTGGTATGGCGGTGTCCCGGTGTGATGATATGGTGGGGTCCCGGTGTGATGATATGGCGGGGTCCCGGTGTGATGGTATGGTGGTGTCCCGGCGTGATGATATGGCCGGCGTGATGATATGGCGGTGTCCCGGTGTGATGGTATGGCGGTATCCCGGTGTGATGATATGGCGGGGTCCCGGTGTGATGATATGGTGGTGTCCCGGTGTGATGATATAGCGGTGTGCCGTTGTGAAGATATGGCGGTGTCCCGGTGTGATGATATGGCGGTGGCCCGGTGTTATGATATGGCCGATGTGATGATATGGCGGTGGCCCGGTGTGATGATATTGCGGTGTCCCGGTGTGATGATATGGCCGATGTGATGAGATGGCGGTGTCCCGGTGTGATGAGATGGCGGTGTCCCGGTGTGATGATATAGCGGTGTCCCGATGTGATGATATGGCGGTTTCCCGGTGTCATGATATGGCGGTGTCCCGGTGTGATGATATTGCGGGGTCCCGTTGTGATGATATGGCGGGGGCCCGGTGTGATGATATGGCGGGGTCCCGGTGTGATGGTATGGTGGTGTCCCTGTGTGATGATATGGCCGGTGTGATGATATGGCGGTGTCCCGATGTGATGATATGGCGGTATCCCGATGTAATGATATGGCGGTGTCCCGGTGTGATGATATGGCGGTGTATTCTCGTCTATTTTACAACACACCACATCCTTTCTATTAGGATGGACTCTGGCAGAGTTATAAATACAATATCCGCGTTAATTCTACACTACTAGTAATTGTCAGCCATTATCAATTAGTAAACTAACACAACCTCCTTCACTGCCGCTCTAACGTCGAATACTAGGCTAACAATATAGAACCTATGGGATATAAGTAACATTAGTATCCATTCGGTTCGTTCAATGCTCAATCGAGAATCCTTTTAAATTGTATTTTTAACTGATGTCATAAGAGCACTGTTAAATTAATTAACACAGTGGTAATGCAGTGGTAATGTGTTTAACCTTAACATATATTTACTTTAAAACTATTCCTCTTTTCCTCTGTGAAGTAAAGTCAGATGGGGTTGCATTCGAACAAATTAGACCTGGTATAATAAACTAAATAAACAATGTTTTGGTACCAAATTATCAACGAAAGGAGAATAGGCTAAACGGAAATAGAGTGTGATGTCGCCTAAGAACCAATAACGGAAAACAGACAGATCTGTCAGTTTCACTTCTTTTGTCACCAGTTTCAATCTCACGGGAGTTACGTATGTTCAAAATAATAAACAATTCCCTTTCATTGCGATACGATCTAATGTGGTGATGGGTTGCCTATAAATTGCTGGAGTAGAGACACATTAAATGTGATTAAGTGAAGGGTATTAAACACTTTCAATGTCTCAGGGAACAAAATAGATTACTTTGAATTAATATCATAGTCATTATATTAGAGTGTACTCCATTTTGTATATGTGAATTTCCTCACTCCATTTTGTATATGTGAATTCCCTCACTCCATTTTGTAAGATATGTGAATTTCCTCACTCCATTTTGTATGTGTGAATTTCCTCACTCCATTTTGTATATGTGAATTTCCTCACTCCATTTCAAGGTTTCATGGTAAAATGTGTTAAGATCAAACTACATCAGATGATCCCGAATTTCATTAAACTATACAATATATCTTATATAGCATACATGTAAGATATCTTATATAGAAATTAAATGAAATGATGTACAAGATATCTTATGTGCTGTATAAGATACATCAAATTTAGTTTTCTGTATATATATATTATATTATAAAATATTCTTATACAAAAAATGTATATTATATAAGGTATATTTTATATATAATCAAATCGTATATACTTCATTTAGGTATATCATTTAATATCTATAAGATACATCTGATAAATTATATAAGAAATCTTTTATAATATATCAGATATCTTACATGCTATATAATATATCTTATATAGAAATTAAATCACTTTATACTGGTTGTATATAGACATTTTAGTTGTTGAAAAGAAACATTTAAATACATTTTGTAGTTGTATATAGACATTTTGTAGTAGTATATAGACGTTTAGGTTGTTGTATATAGACATTTAGGTCATTGTATATAGACATTTTAATTGTTTTATATAAACATTTTAGTGGTTGTATATAAACATTTTAGTGGTTGTATATAGACATTATCGTAGTTGCATACAGATAGTTTAATAGTTTAAAGTAGATAATTAAGTAGTTGCACATAACATTTTTAGTTGTTTGACACTGTCACAATCAGAACGTTTGTTCTCTGAACGACTTTACGTGAGTTGTAAAATGAAGTGTGACTTATAAAATTCTATATAAGACTTGTATTAGAAGATACAAAAAGAAATCATCGGGGTTAATGAAAAATAAAAGAATAATTGATACGAAGAAACCGTTTGAGAAATCGTTAAACATTTATATGAAAAAAGATCAACATAATTGGAAAATTGAAACAAATATTTTCGTTTTTACTTTCGTTGGTCTACCTATACCCTTCAGAAGAGAAGGTACATGGAATCGTACCGGATCGTAACCCTTGGCTAGCGACGATGTTTATTTCTATACAAAAAAGGAATTTGTTTTCCCGATTTGTTGTTAGACTACGACATATCTTAACAGTTAAACCGAAAACGGGATTACAACTGGGTTATATAAAGTAGCGTAAAACGAAAGTAGGATTACAACTGGGTTATATAAAGTAGCGTAAAACGAAAGTAGAATTGCAACTGATTAATATATAGTAACGTAAAACGAAAGTAGGATTTAACCACTGGTTATTTGCGCAATACGTATATATTTTTACTAAAAACGAAAGTAGGTTTAAAGATGGGTAAACATTGATATCCGGATGTGTATACACAGTTTTCAAACAAGCAAGGTATGTATACAATCACTTCTGTCAAACAAAACAATAAACACACGATATACAATCCAAAACTGATTATAGTTGTTTCAATTGCATAACAAGGTAAATATAGTAAATATTCATATTGATAACGTTGAACCCTCCTTGTAGTGAAATAAGAAATGTAATTACGTATTACCGTGTATACCAACCTTTTGTTCTGCATGATTAGTATTTAATTATCCAGTGTTATGTTACATATATCTGACTAGGTATTAGTAGTCAAAGTATCAAGTAATAATATAATACTTAGTAAACAAGGCCGAGTATATTAAACATCGAGAACGTTCGGTGTAGTAAGTGCTACTGACTACCAATCACCATACAGAGAGCATGCTTATCAGTTCAATAACTACTAAATATAACCTGACTTACGCAAGAGGATTCAAACAAATCTATACGTAATCAATATTAAACAACGATAAACAGCAAAAATGGCTATAAACACTAAGTGAAAATAGACTTAAATGTATACATTGAACGCCCTCAAAGAAGTAAATTCTGAAATGATTTTAATCAAATTCTGTTCAGTATTGTCATTGTAGATCATTTCTCGGTGATATCGACGTCAATGTAAACAAATATTAAATGCAAAATGATTTGATTATGCAAAAGCGAAAGTAGATTTCCCTACTACTTAAGTGAAAGGTTTTCATATTTCTTCCTGATCATACCCTTAAAATGATTTTACTGAGTGATAAGTAACATAAACCAGTGATATATAAAGCCATAGAATATACGTATCTGTATTTCCATCTTCGTAGTAACCTCTTGGTATTTAACGATAGGTATAATAACGAAAATAGGCACATTTTGTACATCTATCATTATAATAGTATGGAGTTTATAAAATCACATCAAAGGTATTATCTACTCAATGTATTTTTTACTGAAATAACTAGTGCATTTTTTTTCTATTTTGTTTTCTAACCCTAACTCTAACCCTAACTCAATTGATTTACGCCTTATTTTAACTCAGCTCACAATGGCACGATGCTTGTTACTGGTGTTATCACAGAAAGTTGTTCTCATCGGGGAATTCCGATTGAAAGAGAGATAACTCGTGAAAGTTAGTTTCGCTTTTGTGTATGTTTTAATATGTTGTGATTTCATGTATAGTATCTTTATGAATTTTTATTGGTAGCTGATATTTTCTTCTTGAATATTTTCAAATTTTTCAAGTTGTTTTTATTGTATCTCTGTTGCATTGTTAAATCTTCATTGGACGGGTTTTGTTAATTTTCTTAAAAATGTGTACTTCTGGATAGTATTCATTTTTTACTTACATTCACCAGTTTCAAATATGAAATATGAAGAAAATAAGGTTGGCATCACGAATATTGACACAAAACCTTATTTCTGAATATTTAAAAAGCGTTATCTGAGCTATCCCGATCAGACAGTAAGCACTAGTACAGTCGTATGCATAATGTCAACAGATAGACAGTGAGCACTAGTACAGTCGTATGTATAATGTCAACAGATAGACAGTAAGCACTAATACAGTCGTACGTATAATGTCAACAGATAGACAGTGAGCACTAGTGCAGTCGTATGTACAATGTCATAAGATAGACAGTAAGCACTAGTACAGTCGTATGTATAATGTCAATAGTTAGACAGTAAGCACTAGTACAGTCGTATGTATAATGTCAACAGATAGGCAGTAAGCACTAGTACAGTAGTACGTATAATGTCAACAGATAGACATTAAGCACTAGTACAGTCGTATGTTTAATGTAAACAGATAGACAGTAAGCACAAGTACAGTCGTATGTATAATGTCAACAGATAGACAGTAAGCACTAGTACAGTCGTATGTTTAATGTCAACAGATAGACAGTAAGCAATAAAACAGTCGTATGTATAATGTCAACAGATAGACAGTAGGCACTAGTACAGTCGTATGTATAGTGTCAACAGATAGACAGTAAGCACTAGTACAGTCGTATGTATAATGTCAACAGATATACACTAAGCACTAGTACAGTCGTATGTATAATGTCAAAAGATAGACAGTAAGCACTAGTACAGTCGTATTTATAATGTCAACAGATAGACAGTAAGCACTGGTACAGTCGTATGTATAATGTCAACAGATAGCCAGTAAGCACTAGTACAGTCGTATGTATATTGTCAACAGATAGACAGTAAGCACTGGTACAGGCGTATGTATAATGTCAACAGATAGACAGTAAGCAATAAAGCAGTCGTATGTATAATGTCAACAGATAGAGAGTAAGCACTAGTACAGTCGTATGTATAAAGTCAACAGATAGACAGTAAGCACTAGTACAGGTGTATGTATAATGTCAACAGATAGACAGTAAGCACTGGTACAGGCGTATGTATAATGTCAACAGATAGACAGTAGGCACTAGCACAGTCGTATGTATAGTGTCAACAGATAGACAGTAAGCACTAGTACAGGCGTATGTATAATGTCAACAGATATACAGTAAGCACTAGTACAGTCGTATGTATAATGTCAACAGATAGACAGTAAGCACTAGTACAGTCGTATGTACAATGTCAACAGATAGACAGTAAGCACCAGACAGTCGTATGTACAATGTCAACAGATAGACAGTAAGCACTAGTACAGTCGTACGTATAATGTCAACAGATAGACAGTAAGCTATGGTTGGCGGAGGTTATATCCGCAGTACAAAGAGAAAGTCAAACATAAATTGCGCTATATCTGTGTGCCATACATCATATGTAATCATTTTGTTTTATACTGAACACGATTTTTCTCTTTGTTACCGAGCCGCTGTAAGTTATTCACTTCACAGCCATTTAGTGTGCAAAAGAAATAAGTTTATATGTGTTTTATATCATTCTGTGATTTGGTTTTTTCCTCCTTGTTAATCCTATTTTGAAACTTTTCAACAAATAGAATTAATAATATTAAATCATTAATTAACAGCAACCTACAGATTCACAAAGAAGACATGTTTGTTGACGTCCCAGTTTGATACATGTTACATTAAATGTTCACTAATATACATTATATACGGAGGTCCATACGTGTTTGAAATATTGAACCTTTAGAAGATGACTTAGATTTAGGTAGAGTGTTCGTGCATGTGCTTATTTTCAGTTTCTTCTCTCGTTGTTGACTGTTTGCATGCAATCTACGTTTTGATATGTTGAAACCCTCTTCAGCTATTGGCTTTTTGAATAAATATGCAACTCTCGGATAAATAAAGGCCTACTCAAATACCCAATGAGTTACTGTGGGATGTATGAATAGACTATTACTTTTAATGAACATTCAATTTATCTAAATGCCAAGCTAATGAATAGGACAAAATTCATAATAACACCATCCCGTGGTGTTTGGTCTAGGTCAAACTCCGCAACAGTGTACATCGCGAATTGAAGAACCCGTTAACATTATTTGAACACATAAAATCAACAAAATATGACTTTAAAACTCATTTTCATTATAAATTTAAAATTGTCTTGAAAATACTCTTGATAAAATATCACAAAGATATTCCAACCAACCTTACCAAACGAGCTGTCATCACCCAATTTAATGTAGATAGAAATAAAACAACTACCCGAACACATGTATAAAAATTTGAACTGGACTTAAGTGTAAGCTTATTTTAATTCAGTTATTTATTTGACGTTTTATAATAAAATCTTAAATCATCATTGTTGGTATGTTGTCAAGATATCGTTGACAGGGGCTACCCATATGTAGAGTAACAGCCGAGCGGACTGAGCAGGACTAGTATTCAAGTGACGGCTCAGCAAGACAAATAAACTAAGATGGCAGACGTATCTATGATCACGGTGAGTTTGATAACTGTTAATTTACAATTTCAATAGAATACATTCGTACCATAGTTTATTTCTCCATATAGCCTACGTCTATTAAGCTACATTCTGGTTGAGGATTATCATAAGATTGTAAGTGTACACTTACAATCTATTATGTGGAAATGGAACAAAAGCACAACTGTTAACATTATCAACCGTTTGTTTTGACAACAACCTTAAGTGGTCTACTTGTCAATGCTAGGTCCTGCTTCAAACACTTATAACCCAGCTTAACGATTTTGCTAGAGAGATTGAAATGATAAAAAAAAAGAATTACTCGAGCGAGAGAGAGAGAGGAATACACGTCTTATTTCACATTAGTCATGTGATCTACTAAATCAAATCGAACACGCGGTAATGGAATGTGGAGTAATAATGTTTTAATACATTGTGAAAATAATTAAGATCAACTTACCTTTCAGGATGACGAATATGTTTCACCTGACGAATTTAATGATGAAATTACGAATGACCTTAACAAAAAAGTGAATGAATTATCTAAACAGCTTAAAAATATGAAAATAGAAAAAGATGAAGCACATAGATACATAAATGACATGTCTGCCAAAATTGCTTCTCATGGAGAACTTGAAAAAGAGGTCAAACGCTTAACAATTCTAAACCATGACCTTGAGAATAGATTACAAGCTGAGGATAAGGCGTATGTAAAATTATGGAAAGAAGTTTCTCCATCAAAAGATAATGGGAGTGGTGAAAAGACGGACCCTGCAACTACATCGACAGAACGCAAGGAGGAAAGCGACACAAACTCTGGTATTTTAAACGAGAAAACACCAACCTCGCAAGCGGACAAGACCGTTCAACAGAATCAAGATAGGAGTGTTACAGTTACAGCGAGCGTTACCGAACTTACAGAGGAAATACGTAAGTTTTATTTCTGTTTAGGTAATATGCAGGTAATCACCCTAACACTGACTCGTTTGCATATTTGATGCAACCTAAATGAGAATAATTCCTGGTTCCCAACAAATGTGTTTTACCAAGGAAGTGAATGTACAACGCTGTTATGTAACATACAATTCAGGATAGAATGAATACCATCAGCTGAATTAGGAACATACCTTAAATCTAAGCAAATAATGAGTCGAACATTACTAGACACGAATAATTAGCTCATAAACAAGTAATAAATAAGTCTATCAATAACCAGGACGGGATCGTATCGGTTGCTATACGTGTCCTAGTTAAAGGTAGGTTAATTATACATGATCAATATACCTCTCGCATTCCCTTCTCAAAAAAGTATGGTTCCCTTTCGAGCCCTTTGTCTTAAATATGTGTAAAGCATGACCTGGAATTTTAATATAAGAGGTCCATAGTTCCATTCCTTTGTTACATGTTCGAGAGATCACTGTTATAATCGGGTTGAATCGGTCTTATCATTTTAGCGATAAAAATTAATAATAAGGGTTATTTCAATCAATGTTTTGGTCCATCTTTTCTGTGTTAGGGGTATGTTTTGAAATATATAGAGAAATCAAATTTGACCACATAACGTCCGCATTGCATTTCCTTACGTACACTGGTTACAACGCTTTATGTTGTACTTCATTTGTATATGTATAGGGAGGAAGGAAGAACGTATACAAGAACTCAAAAATGAGGTGAAGACATTGAAGTCCAGCCTGCAGGAGACATTGAAAATCAAGGACAAATACAAGAAGACACTTGAGAAACTTAGGGATGAGAAACAAGCTTTGAGTGAAGAAACAAGTAGACGACTAACACAAGGGGACAACAAAATGTGTAATATACCATTTTTGCACGAAATACATGATAACATATTATACATCGACACTGTGTAACAGTAATGGCATATCAACATACTGTACCTAGAAACGTTTATCTATAAAACCTATACTCACCCTGTGATGCTTTCGTCCTCACTGTAGTGTGCTGTGTATCAATATTTACTTATAATAAATTCGCCCTCATTACGGAAAGCAAAAAAGGCGAATGTTAGAAAAATCAGGAAATAGAGTGTTTTCATTTTGCTGCTTTCGAAAGTGACTCGCCAAAATTAAACCACCATCATGTGGGTCAGATCTGTGTAAATAAACCACCATCATGTGGGTCAGATCTGTGTAAATGAACAATGACTTTCATTTCTATTGAATGCTACTTCTGTCAGCAGTACTTTTGATCGGTATGCTTTTGATGTGTGTTTTTTTTATGTATTTCTTATAAGCATTAAGTTACACATATTAGTTATAAACAAGCAGTTTGTCTTCAAATATTTTTTTTTACCAATATATTATATTAAACGTCAACGAAAAATCTGCGCCCGGTCATGAAAGATTTATATACACAGGCGAGTTTGAAATTCCTCAAATAGAATAGCTCTTAAAATAATGACGAATTAACCTCATAGACGAGGACCATAACTTTCTTGAAGACTGATTTTCTTAACAAGATACCGTGTTTAGGAACGTAGTCCATTGGATAGAGTATTGATAAATGTCTGTTATATGTCAGAATTGTCGTCCATGCTAAAATAATAATTTTCCCAAAAATTAAGAATGACATAAATGTTGCTTTTATGGCAAATAAACAAAAAGCGAAGTGTTTTTAATGTTACTATATAAATAGTTAAAATAAACTTAACAAAATTTAAGTCTTATAGATTTTGAAAAAGAAATATTTTTAGAATGTTTAATAAACCTACCCGATAGAGCATTATTGAAATGTTTCCGTCAATCAATATCTCTATATTTAATGGGTATATCTTGCTTCTTTTTAAATGCTATATAACCTTATGCAAAATATTGATTTTAACATAGACATGACATCATATTGACATTCATTGTCGAAAGTCATGTTTTAATTACAAGTTTTGATCCTGTCCTGTCTTATAAGTTTCGAGACGATTGTGAAAAAAGATGACGTAAATAGACTTTTAACAAATAAAGATAAGAAGTATTGTATATAAACAAGTAATTACCACGTATGTTGTTTGTTTCGGACTGAAATTTTTCCATATGAATCATTGGCCAACTTTTCCAATAAGTGGAATTTGATTCAGTAATGGCTTTCAGTAAATTATAATATAGGAATAGTGATGAAGAGACAAATAACGATTCAGCTAAAGAAATAAGTAACAATTGTTTGATATTCTTTATTGCAATGTTAAGAATACTTACACGAAACAGTTCAAATATGCAAATTTTGCTGCTTCACAGGTAAAATGGAAGAAAATCTGAGATTGATGACAGCAAGGAGAGATCAGTTGGAAAAGGATTTGGAAAAAGCAAACGGTCAGCACACACTCTTTTACGTCTACTTATTAGAGCTTTAGGCATTTACATGGAACTAATTATTCACGAAAAACTAATGCTTTATTTTAATCGTTTTTGCTTTTTTTCAATGAAAATTCAAGGTTACTATTACATAAATATGAAATGTGTGCCCCACAATAGCAGGTTTCCTCCGTTCAATCTAATAAATATATTCAAACAAAACATTTTTTGTCCAAAATCACCGGTTGAAATTAATATTTTAAATCCAAAGAATTAAAATAGTACCAACACTCGTAAACGGAAAATTCAAATATTTCAAACAAGTATTTCTTCCAACTTACAACAATATGTAGGTGGAATTAGGTTGTTACGTTATTTCAATAATCACTATAGACTAGTCCATAATTCAATTTATAGAGGAGCTGGATTTAACTGAGAAAAAACTGACTGCAGTTAAGAAGGGTCACCAGTCGACACTCGCCGAAGACGGAAAGGCCATGTCTTCTGAATTAGGAATTGTACACGTCGACGAGTTACGAGAAGCACTTGGTAAGTATACATAGTGGACCATACTACATGATTAGAGAACTAATACTGTGATCAGGTGCCAATGTTAATTGTGTCCACCATGACGATAACATTTGTCAACAAAAATCATTTAATCCGAGTTCACTATTAAATAATGTTTTTATTCCCGATAGTAACGAAAAGTGTTGAATGTGAGAAAATGCTGTTGAAAAACGAGGAACTAAAGAAAATACTGGAGGAAAAAGGAAGCACACAAGGTAATTATTGAGTAATTATTGTAATTATCATCACGAATATTAATAAAAACAAGAGGCTTGTATCGCTCAGCCATTACTTAATGATGTTGGTAAATACCTTTTTGTTATTTGCAGCCTTTCCGCATCGATATTATTTTGTATTAATAGGTGCTTCCTGAATTCCTTGTTCTAGCGCTTATTTAAAGTAGGTCAAAGTCAAACAGAGTTATACATAGCCGATGGCAACTTAGCGGGCACGTTAAAGTTTTAATACATTTGCCCCTGATACTTTAAAAATGTTCATCCATTTGAATAGACTCAATCATCCCGTCATTCTATTTGCTGAAATTGTCAATCCCGGCCTTTTGATATAGATAGATTGTGGAACATTTTTTCATCTCTGTGTTGCCAAGGTGGGTTTAACTTAATTTATGTGTGAAGAAACGTGATAGCCGATCAGGAAAGTAGAGGTCTCTTTTGGCTATTTAATGTAGCTGTTTCGAGTTTTTGAACCTTGACCCTAATGACCTTTAAAGCCACAAACTTTTCTTAATTATTGTTAATGAGTAGGAGTAGAACGGCACACACATATTTAGCTAAATAGAAATAGCAATTATTTGAGTAAGTGTATTTCAATATACTAAAACAACAAATAATAGCTCAAATAGCTAGTATTGATTTTACAGGTAAATTGGAAGAACGTCTTACTCTGATAACATCGAGAAAAGATCAATTGGAAAAAGATTTAGAAAAAGCAAAAGGTCAGTAAACACATTCAAATTTCCAGTGACGCAAGTGTGGGTTTACATGGCGCTCGCGATTTTATGAAATTATGTCATTATTTTCAATCAGTTTTTCTTTTTTCAGTGCAAAGTGCATGGTTACTAAAACCTTGATAAAATTGAGTTTCCCAATTCAGCACAATAAATAATTTAAACATTACATTTTTGTCAAATTGGATTGGTTGGGATTAATTTCTAAATCCGAAGAGGATAACTGTTATTATTGTACACGCAGGAATTATCCTATTTCAAACAAAGCAATTTCCCCACTTACACCAATCAGAGGTATAACTAATACTGTTCTCATGGATACTCCGTCATCACATTACTTTTAATAAACCCTTTTTCAATACAATTGACAGAGGATCTAGACCAAATGGCGAAGAAACTGACTAAAGTTAATCAGGATCACAAGTCGACACTCATCGAGAACGAAATGGCCATCTCTTCTGGATCAGAATGTTTACAGCTTGAAGTCGACACGTTGATAAAAGACCGTTGTAATTATACATAGTGGTTACAGAATGGATTCGAGAACATTACTGTTAATTGTTCCCAACATAAGTTACATCCGTTACTATGAGTATAGCTGTAAAAACATCTCGTCCTCTGAGTTTGCTTCCATCATTTCCTATTATAAACACCTTTAAATAAACTTCACAAAATTCAGCGTAAAACCACGGCCACATAAATTACCACAAAAATCAGCCGGAAATCATGACAACCCCTCAAACATACCCGAAATAGCGTGCAACTACAGCCAACTTCAAGTAAAATATCAAAAATTACCTGGAAATAATCGCCATCTCCAAATTCAGAGGGAAATATGCATGGTCAAGACGCCATGTAAAATCAAAGGACAGTATTGACCATACCTTGTTACACAAGTTATACCGTATTTCGTATTCAACGGACTGTGAAAAGTGATATCAGCTATTCGGTGGCTGAAATCAACACGTTATGACACATACATAAGCGTCAACACATAACGGTAAATATACAGTGACCTGGATACACAACGACAAAAGACTATTAAACAACAACTTTTAATCACATATCGAAAGATATCACGCACTCACATGACAACATTAGTATCGAGATCATAATGCTATAATTAACGTACAGAAAATGGATTTCGAACGCATTTGCGAAACTTGCATCACGGATAAAATTCTAGCATACAATACTACGGCAGAAACTCGGCAAATTATACCACTGAATCAGTTCACGAAATAAACATACATCTTAGCATCAGCACACAAAGACAGAATAGAGTAAAAAGAACATTCAAGCAATAATCAAATATTTACAAGTGCAAATGATAAAGAGCTTGATGTCATGCTGTTGAATTATGATACATTTAGTAATCAGAGATGGGCATTAACATTACATTTAGTAATCAGAGATGGGCATTAACATTACATTTAGTAATTGGAGATGGGCATTAGCATTACATTTAGTAATCAGAGATGGGCATTAATATTCTATTTAGTAATCAGAGATGGGCATTAACATTACATTTAGTAATCAGAGATGGGCATTAACATTACATTTCTATAACTGTGTTCATGATATTGATCGTCCTACTCCATCATTCCATTCCAGTCGCGATGATATCAAGACATATGTGTCTTGATTTTGTCAATAGACATGAAGTGCAATGAACATTTTAGTTCAGAAGAAATGTGGAACTTTCCGCCAATACTTTATATATGGAGAAATATTATAGACGTTGTTTGGGCCCCTTAAGTTGCAGCATTTCTTCCAACCATTTTTATGCTATGCTATTTGTACGATTCAATATATATTCAACACACACGTATGGCATTGCCATGGTATAGGACGGGCCCATTCGCCCTATTAAAAACAAGCCTTTTCCAGCTACTACCCTGCCTAGATATCATAGGCATATAACATTTCCCGCATATAACATTTCCCGTTGAATTGTGCGTAGGGACATATTTCACGATAGCTTAGCCCTAGTGAAAAACATTCATTCGCGCAATAAAAGGTTCAATTTAAAACATCAGATGACTGTAATGTGTGTTGTAGTACTCTTATGAATATCTTCCATTCTTCATAATAATGGTATGTCTAAAGAAAACACTTCCCATATCACACTATATATCCCATAAAAAATGTTTACTTTTTTCTAAAAATAGTGACCCGAATTTAAATGAAATATTTTGCTTTTCATAATACAAATTACTACTTTAGATTCTTCATTTAGAGTAAAACTACTTCACCCACTTCCGCTTTCTAAAGGTTTTATAATGATTCGTATGAACATCGTTACATGTACTTTCATTTCTATGGTTTATTTAATAGAATTGTGTGACTTCCTTTATGATATGCTACATTGTACTTCCCTACAATTTCCTAACTTTGAAATGGGTTTTTTATGTATAACGTCCATCTTCCATATCTCCCCTCGTTCTATCTAACTGCTATATTTTCTATACCATGAATCGCTTCCAGATATGCCTTTTGTGTTCATTTGGTTCAAAATATAATCGTCCCTAAGAATAAAAAGGAATGGCTCGAATGTCTTTAGCAAGTATACATGTATCTTTGTAAATCGATATTCTTGTTTTCACTGCCATACTGGTGTAATCGCTTTCATCTATGCATGTTTCCTGAGAAATTGATAATCAATTCATTTCACCGAAAAACTCATTTAATAAGAAACGTACAAGTTTATAATTTATTTTTCTACGTAGGTATTAATAGCATGTAAGCAGCATTCATTATGATCACATGTTAATTGTATGATAACCAAATATAGTAACGCATATTTGCATGACCACTTAAATATATATTTAAAATTCATTAAAACTTACATAGAACTGATTTATCCAATAGATAACCAGAATGAATCACAAGTCTGCTTTGACTCATTGACTGTCCAACCTCCAAAGACAAGGAAAAGTATAGGTAAAGTTTGACCTGAGATAGGTGTACCTTTTATCATGTCTGTATCTAGGAAAGGTATCTGCTGCGTGATTGTGCTTTTATAAGAGATTATGTACTCAAGAACTGATATCAGATAATTAATATAGAGGTGCATGTTGTTTACCATGCTAATATAATTTACACATTGTATAAAGACCCGAATTTTACTCATTTACTTTTATTAATCGAAATGTAACTCATTAGACTTAGATAACTGTTTCTCTTTTAACATTAATTTTATATCCAAAAAATCATATTTGTTTCTTGCAAATACAAGATTTCTATTTCCGACTGGAGAAAACAATTGCAATGATTTATGCTGGCGAAGCATTGCAACATGACGTCATACTTTAAGACTGGCCAATGAAGTCACTTCTAGGGTGTTACTATTTATGGGTAAACAAAAATGTTAAAACAACTTCTAATAGACCGATCCAATTAGTCGGGATTGGGAAAACATAAACTTGTTTTGAGAAAAATATTCATCTCTTTGAGTATTTGTTAGGAGATGATTGTTTAGACCTCTCAATATTTGAACTAATTATATGTGAGGTAGCTGATTATGCCTATTTCTCGAAACATTTGAGAGGTGATAATATAAAGACAAGATTTAAAGTACTCATGTAATTTAGTCTTGACTGAGCATATAAGAAATGATCCTTTGAGTACAAATGTACAAATAATCTCGTGTCTATACGTTTCGTATGTGTATATTTCTGGGAATGAATGCATACAATATTAACTTAACTTAAACAATCTATCATCCGTCATCGAAGTGTTATCTGATCATTAATGTTGTATTTTGTCGTGTGTCGTCATAAAACGATATCGATAGAAATGATTTACGACATTTGTAGTCGTTTTGTGCGATTTACTCTTACAATGTAGCTATTCATCTCGTTATCTAAACGATGTGTAAAGTGTCTCATTGACAAATATTAAACAGAGAAATAAAAACCAAGGACCAAATTCATTGGTATGTTCGTATAATAAGTTTGTGAAGTGCACACATCTAGTTTTTTGCATATAAAACATATTTACATGCATGCAATATCTATATCTATAATAAGACAAATACAAATGTTTTGTGTAACTATACAGAGATTGGACTACGTAGTTTGCGTAGTGGGATGGGAAAAACCATGGTTGACGGAGTAACCAAAGGGCTGCAGAAACTTCTACATGACAGACTGCTCAGAGAAAAAATAGATCTTCACATCAAACCATGCCAAACCTTAGATGATGCTACGGGTGGACCTCACTTTGTTCTTTGTCTAGCCAAATCAATCATAGGAACAAAGGTCCAAGCATTGGAAGGAATACCAGGTAGTATTTCAAACTCCGTACTTTTTATAGCTTTCTACATCTGTAGGTTCTTCATGGTTTTTTTTGTATTTCCCCTAGTGATTCTTTTAACATATCAGCATTTTAATACAGAGCAATCTATAACATAAACTTTTTATAATGTAAAAAATATTAATATATAAATAAATACAAAGATTCCATCTAGTGCTTTAACACCTGCACATTTTAGAATTATGTTTAATTTATAAGAAATTTTCTCAACGATGATTATATAGCTGGGACATTTTTAAATTAGATATATAAATAATTGTCTGCTAATATAACCAAGCCTTCGTCAATCACTCTTGCATATTTGGGGGAAATCCTGATGTGTCCTCTAATGGACCACCTTCCCCTTTCTGCATTATTATACCTTTCTGCTGTGTCCATTTGTTACCTTTCTGCTGTGTCCATTTGATACCTTTCTGCTGTGACCATTTGTTACTTTTCTCCTGTGTCCATTTGGTACCTTTCTCCTGTGTCAATTTGTTACCTTTCTTCTCTAACCATTTGTTACCTTTCTCCTCTCACCATTTGTTACTTTTCTACTGTGTCCATTTGATACCTTTCTACTGTGTCCATTTGTTACCTTTCTGCTGTGTCTATTTGTTACCTTTCTGCTGTGTCCATTTGTTACCTTTCTTCTCTAACCATTTGTTACCTTTCTCCTCTAACCATTTGTTACCTTTCTGCTGTGTCCGTTTGATACCTTTCTACTGTGTCCATTTGATACCTTTCTACTGTGTCCATTTGTTACCTTTCTGCTGTGTCCATTTGTTACCTTTCTGCTGTGTCCATTTGTTACTTTTCTGCTGTGTCCGTTTGTTACCTTTCTTCTCTAACCATTTGTTACCTTTCTCCTCTAACCATTTGTTACTTTTCTGCTGTGTCCATTTGTTACCTTTCTGCTGTGTCCATTTGCTACCTTTCTACTGTGTCCATTTGTTACCTTTCTGCTGTGTCCATTTGTTACTTTTCTGCTGTGTCCATTTGTTACCTTTATTCTCTAACCATTTGTTACCTTTCTACTGTGTCCATTTGTTACCTTTATCCTGTGTTCATTTGGTACCTTTCTGCTGTGTCCATTTGTTACCTTTATCCTGTGTCCATTTGGTACCTTTCTCCTGTGTCCATTTGTTACCTTTATCCTGTGTCCATTTGTAACCTTTCTCCTGTGTCCATTATATAGCTGGGACATTTTTAAATTAGATATATAAATAATTGTCTGCTAATATAACCAAGCCTTCGTCAATCACTCTTGCATATTTGGGGGAAATCCTGATGTGTCCTCTAATGGACCACCTTCCCCTTTCTGCATTATTATACCTTTCTGCTGTGTCCATGTGTTACCTTTCTCCTGTGTCCATTTGCACCTTTCTTCTGTGTACATTTGTTACCTTTTTCTGTGACCATTCGTTACCTTTCTCTTTTGTCTATTTGTTACCATTCTCCATTAACCATTTTTTACCCTTCTGCTGTTATTTTCCGTGGATCGAACATTTAAAAGAAATATTATAATAGTCATTCAAAGCAAATCTTCCTTCAAACCACACGTCCGTTTCAATTAGTTAATAATATAATTATAATATAATACTATAATCTATAATATTTCAGGGAACAAAGATACCGTCCTCATCATTATCTACTATACTGAAACAGATACAAAAGAATGTCTGTCGATGTCTATTCCAAGTTTCCGTCTTTACGGGAGCGAGTTACGTCCACTTGGCGGGACCATAGATATGCTATTCGGCGGTGGCAGCGGTCTCTACGACTGTGACGTCAACAACTCTGCAGTGGAGAGAATTACGACCTTTTTAAAGAAATATTGACTTCATTCATCGAAGTCAACTAAAAGATAAGATGTCATAGTTTTTATATATGACAGACATAATCAAATATAGTGTGTTTCAAATGTATATCATACATTTACAAAATGTAGTATTTCTTTCTATATATACGTATTTACATTTTGGTTTTTACAGTTAAACAGTATCGATGGTAACATTTATTTTTTATTCAGATTGAAGTTGTTTCTTTTATAGGAGAGAAAACCTTATATAATAGAAAAACTATCGGTTGTACGTTACATGGTAATAGATAATTGTCTTTATATTGAACAATTGTATGTGGTGCTACAGTGTATTTAATTAACTTCGTGTCAAATTTTCTAATGAGAGAAGTGTATTTATGTATTACAAACATTTAGAGGTTAGTTATTTATAGATGTTAAGGACGGGCACACAAAGAGAAATGTTTCTCAATGTTACATACAGACATACAGAATTAGCGCATATAAATGTTACTGACAAACAAACAGAGTTAGTGCATACAAAAGTTACAGACAGACATACAGAGTTAGTGCATACAAATGTTACAGACAGACATACAGAGTTAGTGCATACATATGTTACAGACAGACGTACAGAGTTAGTGCATACAAATGTTACAGACAGACGTGCAGAGTTCGTGCATACACATGTTACAGACAAACATACAGAGTTAGTGCGTACAAATGTTGCATATGTTGCAATCATGCATATTTAAGATTATATTGATGTTACAGAAAGAAAATCATAAAGAGGTAAATGTTTATTAATGTTTCAGAGAGAAAGACATGTGTGTAACATTAAATCAGTTTACATACTAATGTTACACATAGGCAGAGATACACATAGACAGAGATACAGAGGTGGGTGTATATTGATGTTACACATAGGCAGAGATACAGAGGTGGATGTATATTGATGTTACACATAGGCAGAGATGCAGAGGTGGATGTGTATTGATGTTACACATAGACAGAGATACAGAGGTGGATGTATATTGATGTTACACATAGGCAGAGATACAGAGGTGGATGT